CATATGTCTTTAATATTATTTATGTCTTTAGTTTGTCCCTTACTGTCCACTGAAGATGGATGAAATTGTCCCTGAGCTGTGGCTTAGGGGCTTATTGGCAGATGGAACTACCACCCTGCTACAAAAACTGTGAGTTGGATCTTTTTTTTTTTGTTTTAATAATTACTTAATATGTTCTTGTTAACTTACATCATCTAATAGCTAGAAATGTAATTTTTGTTTCAGCGCTAACCAGTGAACATCGCCATTCTGACATTATCTATAGGGCACATGGGCTTGTGCTTCTTTTTGGAACCATTACAGTAATTTTTACTTCAGTTTCTCTGACCAGATTACTTTCCCATGTGCCAAGGATTCCTTTTTTAATTTTAGGGAGGGGGGACCTGTGGACCCTTGTCTGGAGCCACAAATTTTTGTATACAGGCTTCCTAAGTGGTTGAAGAAAATAATTTCATTCCTCCTCAAACCTGTGGTGCGTTGTTTCGTCTTCTGACAGATGTATATGAATTCATACATCAGTTTGATCTTGACAGTTTAATCTGAAGAAACTTTTTTTTACCCCAGTCTCCTCACACTTCTGCCAGAATGAGTGCTCTTTGTGGAGTTGGGTGAGAAAGTATTCTTGATATTTGTTCATTTGTGCTTGAATCTCAGTTTCTTTGTTACATTTCCATGTGCTAGGAATTATATCCAAACGTTCTGCTTCATTTTTAGATCTGTTCCTGAGCTGTGGAAGCAACATGCTGCTGTTGAGGTACTGTCAGCTGATGATGCATGGTCACGTATGAAAGTCTGAAGGAGAAATTGAGATTTCCTGTGTTTTCTTTAGGACTACATTCAAGAGACAATAGCACATTGGAGGAGCTGCAACATTGACGTGCTGCTGTGTCCTGTGATTGGACCAGCCTACAACTTCTTATACTGTGGCAAAACCTCAGGTATGGTACACTGAGTACAATAAAACAGCATAGTCTGTGCGTCACTTTGTTTTCAACAAATTGTAATCTCAAGGTAAACTATAAGATGTTTAGTTTTAAACATAAGTCACAAATAAGATCAGAAATATTTTTAGGTGACTGTTAGTTTTCTAAAATGTACATGTTCCAGAGATTACAGCTTTCCTGTCATTTATTTTGGAAGAGCCATTTCTGAGAGATGCTAGTCTGTTACCCCTGAAGGATGTCACCTGACATACAAAAAAACATGATGCAGAAAGTAGTGTTGATTTTGGGATCTTTTTGTTTTTACAAGACATTCCCTCTTAGTATTCAGTGAAGTCCCGAGGAAAGCGGTGTACTAAGTTTATGGAGAGCATTCTGCTGTGGTTCAAACCTGACACGGACAAATTTTTGAAATTTTGAACTGGAGCTGACTTTGTTACATTTGCATTGAAATATACACTGGGAGGTGTTGTGATAAGAAAGGCAAAGACATTCCAAAGCCCTGCGATGCTGAATAGCAGGCATTTGTACAACTTGATGAAGGCTTTCATGGGAAAGTTGCAATTTCTTTCAAGCCAGATGGAGAGCAACATTCATCCAGAGCTGTTTTGTTTAAAGATTCACAAAGTTCCACTTATTAGTGCAGCCCTCCAAGGCAGTTGTAGTTTCACATGTAGCCCCTTGGGAAAATTAATTGCCCACCATTGCTATAGAGATTACTCAGTTAAGAGAATTACATGTAGATTAGAACATTAAGACAAATGGCAATGTGAATGCATTTTTATTAAAATTTCCAAATCATGAGTTCATGAAATGGTAACAAAATTTGTAAGGGTTAAAGAAAGAATTCTCTTTCAGTATTCTTCATCATTCAATGTTTTTTTTTTTCAGTCAATACCAATTACACATTTGTCTACAATCTCCTAAACTTTCCTGCCGGTGTAGTCACTGTTTCTACAGTGACTGCAGAGGATGAGGAAGAATTCGAGCACTATCCCGACAAATTTGACAAGGTTTTAAAAGAGGTAAGTGAAACATACCAGTGAGGGAAGACTGGTGAAATATATGGAGCTGGATCTACTGTAAGACTAGGTTTTCATGCAGGCATAATCTCTCAGGAGACACGGATGTGAAGCCTAAACTATAGATGAATTTATTATAGAATAAATTTCTGGGGGGGTTTCAGTCACCTGCATCTTTCTGTCCTGGACCAGCCTGGCTTGTTAGTGGAAGTTAGCGCTCTTAGGTTTTCTAAAAGTGAGGTCATTTCTGAGCTTCTTTAACAGGATAGAACTGTGATGACCACGATAATGTTATGATGCCATAGAACTTACAGCTGTTGACCTGTTTCACTAATGTTAAATGTCCAATATGGGTGACCAATCAATAGTGTCAGTAAGAGATCAGTGGACCTTTTACTTGATGCCATTCCCCAAATCCTCTGTGTATTTCAAAATGGCAATTAAATTAATGCAACAGCTCTATATTGCAGCCCTGATAAGTAACATCATGTGAAACATTTGTGAGGCACGTAATTTTATTCTGAATGTTACCGATTGGGTAAGAGAATTTTTTTAAGTGTTTTCACAGTGTTGGTTGTTTATTCTAATAGTTGGATTGAGAAACCACAATGGGCACTCAAAAGCATCTCCACTAAATAACCAACAAATTAACAAACAGATGACCAAAACTTTGACAATATGTTAAAGTTAAAAAGCCCTTAGACTGGGAACATTGAAACCAGCATTTTTTTCTTGCATTTTATTAAAGAAAATGCTGTATAAGAGATAGGGAAACCAGCTGCCTTTACATGACTTTACATCATGGTTCCGGGAGCATTTATGTACTTAGAGATGTCCAGTGTGGTGGTGGTGGGTATAATGATAAAACAGACTCTTTAACACCAACATGTAAAAGGCCCATCCATACACAAAACCAAGAAACGAAACGTATCAGACTATTGTAACTAGAAATATTGTCACATTCCTTGTTGCCATGCAGATATACACACAATGTATTAGTAGTTTCAGAGTTTGTCAGTAGGTGGATGAAGGAGACTGTGGTGTGTCCAGCTGCCAAGCGTTAAGTGACAGGAGTGTGTTTTTGTGTTCAGGCAGTGACCGGTGGCGAGGGTCTACCTGTGGCGGTTCAGTGTGTTGCTCTGCCGTGGCAGGATGAGCTCTGCCTGCGCCTCATGAAGGAAGTGGAACAACTGGTCAAAGAAAGCAAGAAGTAAAGCTGCTTTCTTTGTCAGTCTCACAGGAGAGGCTGCAGACTTCAGAGGAGACATGTTAACTTGAGTATTTCCTGTAATAATGAGCTAATCGAGTCATAAATGGTGGATGAATCTTAGTAGTACAAGTACAGTCTATTCATTTTGTGTTTATTTTGGTCTTTGATTGTTTCCTAAAGGCTTTAGGAACTCTAACTCTTTCATTTTTCATCTTTCTTTCATACATTCATTTAATAAACCATGTGTTTTTTTTGTCTTGCTATCCCCATCTATGCTTTATATTTCTTTATATCCATAACAGCAAACATGCTAGATCTTGTTGAGAAAATAAAATGTGAAATCATTAGGCAAGTCTGCTTTATTTGTATAGACCAAAATAACCTCACAGACAATAAAAAGACCAAAAAGCATACTAAACAATATTACAAAAAAGTCACAAATTTATTCAAACGGTTACAAGTAAACAAACAAACAAGCAGGCTATGTGAAATACTTAAATATGTACACATACAATATATGCAGACATGAGAAGAATTAGACAAGAAAAGCGGTCAAATATCCAGACAGAACTATGCCAGAAGCTTGTTGAGGGTTACCAAAACTTTCTGAGGTACAGCTTGCAATCGGCCCACCATGGAAAAAAAGGACATTTCAAAGAAATTATTAGCCCAAAATGACCATAACGTTCACTGTATGTGTATTGTTCATCTGCTAATGACATTAAAACAAACCATTTATTTTTCTAATGTAGTGGTTTGACATTGATATTTATAAACGAATAAAATAAATAGTTCCTGTTTTATAAGCCGTATTACATTTGATTTGATCTTTCAAACCTGCCCCGAAGATCTCTGATGGGGGGGGGGAGGGGCTTTGTTTTGGGGTTGTTGTTGATTTTTTTTGTTGTAAAATGTTTCATATATTAAACGGAATTATGACATGATCATCGTGACAATAATAAAGGTTGAAACTGTTGTTAATATAGTTATATATTTAATAATATCAAAAGTAACTAAACTCGAAACACTCCGTTGTTCCGGAGGGAGAATAATTTCCGGGTCACGGAAAGCTAACAGCTGATGCGGTGCAGAAAGAGGAAAAGAGGCTATAGGAAGTTAGCGAGTAAGCGGTCGGCTCTCCTTTATCCTAATATAAAAATGATAATAATCACTATAAAATACAGAACTTAGGTGAAAATGTTTAGGTGATCGTTCTAAGGAGAAGTCTTAAATGGACTTTCTGTAATTAATTTGGATGCACACGCACTTCAACACATATTTGTTGTTTTTGTTTACGCTGTCATTCACAGTGCCGTGTTATTTGGGAGTACGCACGCGCAGTGAGTGAGCGTCATTGTTTTATTAAAGTAGGAGCTGTTACTTGCTTAACGCGCCTATGTATTTTGCTCAAAGGTCAGCCTGTCCCATTTAAACAACCGTGTGTAAAGTCCACTTGTCATTTAGTCGAGTTTGCAGCAACAGGACAAAAATGCAAGCCTTGCAGAATATTGAACAGTTTACTAAGGGAGTGAAAATGGACAAGTGGGCAGTGGCTCTGGTCACTGGTGCTACCTGCGTTGTCGGATCCGTGGTTATGCTGGTGAAAAAGATCAGCAGCCACCGAGAGACGGAGGAAAAGATCAAGAGAGCCAGAAACAAGAGAGAGGAGAGCTTGCAGCGGGCAGAGCAGGCGGTGCTCCGCTACAAAGAGTCGGTGAGAGTTCAGAGCCCTGGACTTTGAATTGTTTAAGTTAATCTTTGGAGATATTAGTTCAAACCTGGTGAACTATGGACAAACAATTTGGTAAATCCAAATTCAAATTTTATTTGTCACGTACACAGCAGGGACGTGCAGAGGGGGGGGCTAGAGGGGCTTGAGCACCCGCCCCTTTCCTGATGAGTGCCCAAAGTGCCCTTTTGTTGAGGCAACTTTTAAATTTTTTTTATTTATTTATTTATTTATTTATTTTATGTGTGTGTGCGTGCGGAGTCCTGTCTG